AAGAAGAAGAAGAAGAAGAAGAAGAAGAAGAAGAAGAAGAAGAAGAAGAAGAAGAAGAAGAAGAAGAAGAAGAAGAAGAAGAAGAAGAAGAAGAAGAGTTTGTTCTTCACAAAATTACATTCGAAATTGATGAAGAGAAAAGCGCTTGTCTCAGACAAGATACGGTTGTTTTTCACAGTGTCATGATGATGTAAAAATTACACAAGGGAGGACATTGGGGAGAGGCCGTTTGTACAGTTGATTGTCTTGTCTTATACAGTAGATAACTCGGCCAGGTGAGACCATCTAAGCTAACTTGGTCACGGTGACCTGCATAATTGGAAAAGGGTCTCCAAAAACTAACATGTCCCCTCAAAGCAAGTAATCCGAGAGTGCAGGTTGCTCGAAACTAAATATAAAAGTATAAAAGTATCTTTTAAAAAGATATATTATGTAGGTGTTATTACGCCTGCATACTCAGAGTTTAGATTATTAAGGCCGGGAGATGCTTCAATCTGGCCTTCCAGGGTCAGCCTGAGCTGAGACGGAAACAACTTCCCAGCAGAAAGAAAACCGAGATACTCGATAAAACTTGGCGTCTGTATGTTTGGGGCGCCACGCCTCAGCGGTACACTACAGACGCCAGTTCGTTTGTTTATACTCTTTTTCATATAATTTAGTAAGTGTTTTACGACGCTCGCAACTGCATAATAAGGTCATACGAGCGCGCGGGACACATTAAAGATTTTCAATTGGTAGGAAATTTTGAATTTTGCCCCGGTGGCGGCCAAAGCCTACTCTTATCGCTTTCGGACCACCAAATGACAGGACCCCAATTGACACAAAATTTCAGCTACAAATAAATTAAACAATTTAGATATTTGCATTCTTCTAAAGATGCCTAATGTCGATTTACCTATTATATCTAAAATTGATCCATTTTGAGCGGTAAAATTCGATTTTCAGTCCTCTTAAGTTGTCCAATCGCTACCCTAGAATTACATCTAATTGCTCAGTACCTTGTTTTGAGAAATTTGACGTGAAATAAATGAGTTTCACAACGTGCTGAACTTTTTCGAATGCAGTTCTTTGAAATTCTTGATAATGACTCCGAATAATCTTACAATTTTGATAGAGCAGATAGAACATTTGATGTCGGACCTCATGGTCGTAGTAACTCAAAAAAACAACAACTCAAATTTGAAATTCTGAGATAGCAAAATGTCAATTTACATCCTTCTAAAGGTTTCAAATGTTTATGTACTTTTTGAAATTGTCAGAGGTCAATTTGTCCTTGTCTGTGTTTGTCAAATTATGTCAATGTGCTGTCTGAAGCTGCCAAATTATGTCAATGTATTTCCCTTTGAAGTTGCCAAATTATGTCAATTTACATCCCTCTGAAAGTGCCAAATTATGTCACTTTACACACCCCTGAAGTTGCCAAATCGTGGATGTCTATAATTTAGTTGCACCCTTCCTGACTTATTCATGGACGAAGAATTTCCAAGCCGGCTTTTCTCATTTCTCATCAACATGTTCGAAAATGAGAGAGAGAGCGATCGAGAGCGTATTGCGTGTGTATGTGTCACAAAGTTCATGTCTCCCCGTCTGAAAAGCGTCGTGTACCTCCCCGGAGACTCCGCCCCCAGCCATGGTCAGCCTCCAGGCACGACGTTCTCCTTTCTCTGACGTCACAGCACGTGAGGAATCCCAAATCAGTCGTCTGCTTCTCCGGGAATCGATCTGATCTCGTTAATGAGTATCGATCCGGCGGAGAGCGGGACCTTTTGACAGACAGGCACAATCAGGTGCTATAAATACACACCAAGTTTCACCCTCTTCCTTCCGGTGTGGACATTTACGTGGTACTGCAAAGAGCAACTACTGGTGACGGTGAGACGGGAGGGGAAGAGGGGAGGGAGGGAGGGGAGAGAGGGAGAGAGGGAGGGAAAGAGGGAGGGGGATGTTAAGGGACGGATAGAGGGAGGGGGGAGGGAGAAGGGAGAAGAATGGTGGGAGGGATGTTAAGGGACGGGTAGAGGGAGGGGGAGGTGGACGGGAGGGGAGAGAGGGAGGGAAGGGAGGAGGGGGAAAGAGGGAGGGATGTGTAGGGACGGGTAGAGGGAGGGGGAGGGGGCAGGGAGAAGAATGGAGGGGGGATGTTAAGGGATGGATAGAGGGAGGG